CCATGACCACGTCTGCCCAGTATTGTTAGCAATAAGCCTACTACTGCTACCCTCCAGAGGAACGGTATTGGTCTGATGCAGGAGGGATGGGCTTCCTCCACTGCGAATGGTGTATGTTGCTATTGGTGGGGCGGCACTTGTCTTCACCCTCTATCACATTATAGAGGCTTGATATATCTCAACTAACGTTGATACCCTCGAGAGATGAGAATGCCCAAGCTATCACATAGAGGATGTAGGCTGCTTATGACGATGCCTACATCTGTTAATAGGCTACATGATATCCACTAATAAGTTCACCTAACCAAAATGTGGCGATTAGAGGATGTGTTGAGTCTGAGGACGATCAGAGGTCGCCGGATTTTATTGATACACACTTGGCTTAATGAACTTACAGAAGAAGTACCCTTGGAATACTATCAGATGAGGGAATGGAAGTTACACGTGTATAGCGAGACCAATCTTTGTGGTCATCGAATTGACATGATTCTGGAGAGAATTACTATCGTGTCGATATATCGAAACAGTTCCTTTTTCTTTGTTCGCTAAGCAGGGAAACAACCTACTAAATTCATCTTTCCAGACAGACTATGCGAATGAGTAACGCAGTCTGCCCAAGTATGCATAGGAACACATGTCTTTCCTGCAATAGTCGTACGGAACTTGATACCAAGCGAGCGAACGGAACTTCGTTCCGACAGGTTCATGAGCATGCTTGGTAACCAAGTGGATAAAAGGTTAACACCTATCACCTTTTCTCCTCTGGTGGTAACAGATCTATCCGTTGTACCACAGATGAACATTCTAAGCTCACACAGCTTCGTAAGTACCACACGTGTGTACGAGACCTTCCTCGATACAACTAGTCAACTCAACATGGTTTAGCGCGACATGGTTTAGCGAAGAACAATGATAATGCTCCATTATTTGTTAGAGTCACTAGGAGCTGTTCGCTCATGCCGAAAAACTTTTCAAAGTGAGATGACATTTGGCCGATACGATACATTAAAAATACTTCCGCTCAACTCGATGATTTCGTTCTCACAGGAGTCTCGGGTGTCAAGTCGATTTTCATTCTACCCACGTCAATTAAACCTTGATCATGATCAACAAAGATTGCTAGGCCCAATGCTGGTAATACCAGCATGATGAGGAGATAAATAAAACCACCTCTAAAAGAACCCGTTGTCTGCTTTATGATTCCTATGACGAACGGTCCCAGCCAACTAGAGCCCTTGTCGGTTATGGCGTAGAGAGAGAAGAATTCCGTTTCCCTTCCTGGGATAATCAAATCAGCGAACAATGCCCGCTGAAATGATTGCAATGCCCCCACGTGGAGGCCATGCACTGCAGCGAAAATGTACATCTCAGCAGTGGTCTTCAGACCGAATGGGAGAGAGTCAATAAGACCTAGAGTCCCATAGAGACAGACTACAGAATATACGGCAAGATTGATCAATATGACAGTCTTGGTACGTAGCTTGAAGGCCTTTTTTAGGCGTACATAGAGATAGTTTCCTAGTACAGATGTTGGCCAGATTATGATGAGCATAATAGCCTGCTGAGTGATAGAAAAGCATAAAGACTCCTGAGCGAAGAGTACTCCAAGAATATGTTATAGATGAGAGAGCATCACTGTAGAAGAAGAAGCAGAC